AAATTTTTCCTCTTCAAAATTATGGAATAGCCCATATATTCCCTATTGTGTCTATAATGACCTACCTGTGTGTTGAATGCTCATGTATCTACATATATGCTCTTTGACATCTTTGCCTCTGCCAATAATCCAACTCTATTGACATCTCCATTTGGATTTCCTCTCTCTTCAATTATTTTCTTCATTATTCTTTTGAGCTTTTTGGCTACAATGACATAATATTTTTTTGAGTTGTGAAGTTTGAAAACCATACACTATGCCAGTCATAGTGGCATAAAATGAGGACAATGCTAAGTTGAGATAAAATGCTCAAAGTTATTTCAGCTATATCTACAAAGGTCCCATTTATCCTGCTCCAAATATTTGAGAAAAATTGCACGTTTACCATGTATTTCAAAATCATTTTCATTTTCAAGATTTAAGCAAAAGAGTCTCTGATTTTTGCCTAATAGATTTAGAATAATGGCTACAATAAATTCCAAGACCTGATGAGGGTATATTGTTATATAGTCATTCATAACTTTCACATTTGATGGTCATTAACTGTGTATTTGGTCAAATTAGGTCACTCGTCTTTTTAATGGCTTTGTGTTATATTCTTTGCTTTCACAGACTAGATGCACGGGGAATAAAAACTTCTTTCCCTACCTTCTAAATCTAATCACAATTTTATAAATCATTACATTTCAAAATGTCCAAACTTTTACATTTGAAATGATTGGAAGATACATGTGTGGATAATATGGCATAACACCATCATACATAAAATATTTCTCCCTGTTTTGTGGTTTCTTTATAACAGGAGTTCTAAACTTTTAGAATGCACAACAGTTACTTTCTCATTGTCTTCACATTTAATCAGGGTATTCAGAGTCAGGTAGTTTGTGAAGTACCTTTTAAGGAAACATTGCTTTATAGCGTTTGCTATATTTTCATTTATGGTATAGAATATAAGTGTGCTATGCTTCAAAAGAGTTAGAAATCCTTTCTATTAAAATTTTTTCTTACAATGTGACAATTTACTCTTCCAGATGTCTCCACTGCTGAAAAATTAATTTTGAATTAATTTTGGTGTGTTTTACAACTTCGCTTTGGGAAGTCTTTAGAAGAGTCCTTTCATTTGTATGTCTCTTTGTACGGGTCTATTTTGTGTCTAAATAAATACCTTCTAATTGACTAGTTTTACAATTTTGTCTGTCACTTATGTGATACTGCCACCCATGATTTAACAACATTAGATATTAGTTTCGCTGAACTCAACCATCATTCCTCTAAAACTCTACCAAAAGGGAGATTTGTTAAAGAACACTCTATTCTAGATTTTTTACAGGGTGATATGTACCTTTACGGACTTAAATTGACCTCTTCTCCAGTTCATGTTTGTTACCCTATACTGTCCTGCTTACTTCGTATCGTATCTTCTTTATTTCACGTTTTGATTAGCGTAATGATTAAATGCAAAAGATCTAACATTTTTTCTTTATCAAAAATTCCTCAGTACACCTCCTTCTGTGCCCCAAAAGTTGGAAAGTTAATTGTTTCGTCTTCTAAGGCACTAACTCGTAAGGCACTAATTTACATTATTTCTACGGTTTCTGGTGCTGCCTCACCTCCTCTCTGATTTTTCTGTTTTGGGTCCATGTGTACTCGGTTGATCTTTGTCTGAAAGGTTTTTACCCCATTCCTTTAAAGCACAGGAGACAGCTCTGCTCTGCTCTGTCAAGTCAACACTTCTATCTGGGGCTGGGCTTCAAGCCCAGCTGTGTGGACCTGCAACCTCCACACCTTAAACTCTCCCCTCTGCTAGAGTCTTGGCTTTCCAGACCCTAAAATTAAAATCCCCGTGAGTGTTTTCCGCCTAGATAAATCCACTGTTTCACTGTGACTGGAATCACTCTTAGTGTTGAAGGCCGATTATTGCATCTTTAGGCGATACATGTAGTGTATAGAAAATGCTTGGGCTCTGGTCCAGTATAGTTCAATAAATATTTGCGGATGATCATGTCAATCGCTTTTCTAGTTTGTCACTCCATTTCTGGAGATATATATCTATAGGTTTAAATGCTATCACTAGGAAGCATTCCTAAAAATACCAAATATGTTAGTACTATCAGCTTCTAACACGTACCGGATACATAGTGACGTTGGAGAAGGAAGAAAGGAAGAAGGAAGGTGTTTCTGTCCATATTTCAAATATCAAGATCTGCATATAACTGCTTGCTGGGTCTTATCATATCAAACACTGATTGAAATGATTTTTGTTTGTTTTTAAATTATTCAGAAAATTTATTATAATTCCTGCAGGTATGGATATAGATGCGATTTATTTTTATCAGAGGATGAGTTGGATTTACACGTAGACTTCAAGGAAGGAGAAAATGAAAATTAATATACAATAAATTTATGTGAATCAACATGTAATAAACAAGTGCAGTAAATAAGTAAAAACCTATTATATCTTATGTGTGAAGGGATGGGAATTTAGTGACTGAATTTAATTTTGAATTACTTATGACTTTTTTTTAAACTTCAAAATATTTTTCCTATTCATTTGAATCCTTTGAGGTTATTGATGTTCTCCAGTCTCTGTCCTGCCTGGTGTGCACTTGAAGTGTCCCAAAGGATGGTGTGGTATCACCATAAACTAACTTTTTAGCATTCCAAGTTGTAGTTAGAAATTTTATACCAAAAGTATTTTAAGTATTTTTTTCTCAAGGTCAAATTTAAAAAAGTGATATATAGTGGTGATCTTGCCAATCTGTGAGGAAAAAAGGATGAAATTTAAGTGTAGCTGCAATCTCTATTCTAAAGTTAAAAAGAGAGAGAGAAATTAGATTTATACCCAGAAAACAAGTCAAAGGCCTAAGTGATCATATTTTTCCATATTTAGCAATTTTATCATCTACAAAAAGCCCTACATGGCTTGAAATTCTGTGCTAGGAATAAAAAATATTGCCACTTAATTCATATGGTGTTTTATACTTTTTAATGTACAGCCATTTAGGGAAAAATCAATTTCAACTTAGAAAAACTTTACGATACTCCTCATCCTGCTCATCCCAGATAGAATCAGTGTCTTCTATGGCTTGAAATTACCCAGCTGGCTCAGGTACCAGTGGTGCCCACTCTGAGGCGATTTCTACAGCATGGTATTCTCAGTGAACAGTCACACTAATGATGTGAAATGAGGGCACTGCTCTCTGTTTCATCTTTTCAAGTTTGAGAGGAAAGGGAGGCAAACTGGTGATTCTCAGACCTTAATGCATAGGAATCGTCAGGGATGCTGTCAACATGCAGATTGTGATTTGATACTTCTGGGCTAGCTACGGCTGAAAACATGCCACTGTTTCAGACTCCCACACCGTGCTTTTAAAAGCAAGGAAGTAGAGAAAGTTGACCCTTCAGTTAGCTACATAGACAGATGGGTTTATCTATGTGCCTGGACCTGGGAAACTTGACCTGCCAATTTGACTTGACTTTGCCTTTTCTTAGTATCAGATACAAGGAGCCTGGGTATGACTTTCTTGTGAGGACAGAGCACTAGGAGGCATCTAGCATAGCAACTAGCATACAGAGGACTTAAAAATGTTATCTTCTTCCCTTGTCTGGTTTCTCCAAGTGCTGCCTTTGCAGATCCCGTAGCCTAGACCCAGAGCCTGCCTTGTGAGTAGGCACCGTGTGGAGTGACACTGGCACCTGTTCTCAGAAGCGCGTTATGCTTGCTGTTGCCCATCTTGAAATTGTTAATAATTTATCTTTGAACTTGTGTTTTTAAAGTGAAATCTGATGAGACAATGGAGCATGCATACGAGCAGAGGACACATGTGGGCCCAGTTCCGTGCACAAAGCAGGCAGTACACGTCCTCATGTGGTGCTGGGACCCACAACTGTGTAGTGGGCTGGCTCTGTGTAGACTTGTTCTTCCATTTTCTACTAGTTTTTGTGTCTGGGTTAACTAAAGTCTTAGCCACCTTCCCCATTTCAGCCCCATTACTCAGAGTCCCAATCAGTTAGCTCATCGAATGGATTCATTTGCATTCATGTTAAGAACAAGAACCAAAGTGCAAGCCCAAGGCCATGTGAAGAATTTTACTGTAAAAAAGCCCTTCTCCCTCATTTGTCACCCTGGATAGCACATGAGTACTTTGTAACCTGGGATGTGAGAAAAAGATGTCCTAGAATGATGAAAGACATGATTTGCAGTCACCAAGTCTTTAAGACCATTGCAAGTGTATTTTCAATTCTAGAAAATACCTTAGCTGCATATTTTGTTTATTTGCATGCTAAGGGTTAACATGGATAGGGGTCAGGATTAAATAATACTTAATCTATCTGATACTTGAGGCTGAAGTCCAATATTGTATGATGCATTTTTACTTAAATTTGTTGATGCCTTAACTGAAGGCAATTCCCTCTAGGGAAGTGCTTGATCACAGCTTTAGGGTCTGTAAATATGGGTCCAGTTTACCTAAGAACAGACCATTCTGTTCTGAGAATTTTTTTGTTATTTTTAAAAGGAAGAGAGAGAGAGGGAGAGATTGAATATAAAATATTTGTTCTCATATTATGTATTTCTGGAAGGATAGAATTCCCAGATTCACACTTAAAATTTGTTCATAAAGGCTGCTAAGTGTGCTTGAAAAACAGAAAGCAAGAGAGCAGTATCATGGGGTTTTGCATCTAATAGAAAACAATTTTTTAAGGACTTTTTAAAATGCAAATACATTATAATTAGAGTGTTTTATACTAAATGTGAAAAAAGAAATTTTATCATTTAAAGAAAAGCTTGATTCGTTGCATGATAAAAATTAAATAAGTTAACATTTAAGAATTACCTCATAACCTTGATTTAAAGTTACTTGGTCTTCTTGGCAAAAAGAGTTAGACTTTGTTCATTTCTATTGGAGGAGAGCATAGAAAAGAGCTATTTTATTATTCAAATGGTAAGACTCTTGTTTCTATGACATAATTTCTAAGTCTTTGTCTTTGCATTTCTGTAGCTGTAGGTCTTGCTGCATGCCAAGAACCAGCCCTCCCCAGCAACAGCATCAAAACAGGAGACCGATACATGGTGAACGACGTGCTCTCCTTTCAGTGCGAGCCCGGGTACACCCTGCAGGTACTTCTCCTTGGAGTTCTTGGCAATAAAGGGGGTTCAAAACAGTAATCCTCAGCCAGCTAGCTCAGGCTGAGGCTCTAGATTTACACCAGAGAGCTAACTTAGCATTTAGTTTCTCTCACTCGGTTTGTGAATCAAAGTCATCATATTAGACCGTGCATGCTGGTAATCCTAATTATGGTGTGGAAAGGGCTTCTAAATCAGAAAGCCCCCTTTTGAAGTCAAGCATTTTATTTTCATAATTATTTTGTTTCAAAATATATATTCTCCCAATAACTATGCAGATTAAATTATAAGGGAAGAGGTCTTGGCACAATCTCTTGGAAAGTCCTATTCTAGGAACTGAGTTACTGGATCTGCTTCTGAGGCACGTGCTGCTTCTGCTTTGCAAACCGTTCTTATGGTCCCGTTCGGTAAATTATCATCCGCTACCTGCTCAGTGCCAGGCAAATAAGGGCTCACAGAAATAGGTTTAAGTAATTATCCAGAGATATTAAATAGAAGTTTCTATAAACTATTTATAGATTTTTTGTAAAAAGTTTTTTATATAAAAGTTTTAATAAACTTTTTATAAACTAATGTGTTCCAATAGTAATCATTTTTTGTTATAAATTTCTGGTTTTACCATGAATAAGCTTATTCCTAGAATAGTTCCTTTCTGTCACTCAGCATAATTCTTATATAATTCTCCCTGCGTGCCAACAACAAATATTGAAAATCTAAACGTGTATATTCCAAAGTCTCATGGAAATGTTTAAGCCTACTTAGGTTTCTCATCTTCAATTAATTCAGGTAGTGAAGTACTTCTGGCTGTATGTTTCTTCCAACATTGAAGCTGATAGTATTTCAAGGAAATTTGTTTTCCTTGCATTCTTTACCCGACTTAAATAAAAGAGCTTGAGTAAGCATCAGAAGAAAGTTGCAACACAGCAGGGACACCAATGCATGTAATGCAAGTTGTGCAGGTGCGTGGCAGTAACCGTCTTGCAGAACAGGGACAAGTTACAGCAGCAGCAGCAGCAGATACTGAATGCTGATGGAGTGCCTACCTGACCTCACATTCATCGCACGCAGCCACGTGGTGTGGGTACTAGATGGAAGTGGAAGCTGAGTGAGTGTATGAGAGAGAGGGAGGGAGTAGAAGAGCTGGTGAACTGGGCACGGACCCATCAAGTGGAACCACATGTAGGAATTAGCCTGGGTTTTACGTTTAAAGAAGATATCTGTAAAATCCTTAGCCTGCTTCAGCAAGTGAAAAACATTATTGCTATTATTATAAACAAACACCAATAGACATAAAGGCACCTTCATAAAAACAACCTACAACCTACGTTCTATCAGTCTCGGTCGGTACTACGATAATTGCTTTGACTCTACAAAAAGATGAGCAGACCCCTGCGAAGTGGAACAGGAGGAAGGAAGCAGGAGGAACCTTTGCTAAAAGTTCTGCCACCTTAACAAGTTTTTAATCAAGCATTCTAAGACTTTTTAACTGATTCTTTAAGACAAAGCTTTCCGGTTTCACATATTACACTATAAAGAAGTATGTCACATATGAAGGGTGTCATTTTGAGGGACACTTCACTGTATACTGACATGCCATTTTTATGCTTTTTTTTTTTTTGCTTGCATTATAAATCGACTTAAACCACGTAAATATCCTGCTGTCTCGATCCTCTCCCGAATTCCCACTTGCTACTTGCTCTTGCTCTTGCTCACGTGTGCTCATCGTCTCTGCTCGTTTCTGATGTCACTCTGCAGTTACTGTGAGCATCTCTTTGTAAGTGATGCTTCGACAGCCCTCAGAGGAGAAAGGAGAAGGATTATTTAGTAAAGACCTTTCTTATAATGAATTTTTTAATATGCTGCTTAGAGATAAAGGCCTGTGGACACCACATCTGTAGAGCCCAATCAGGCCACTTATTAGCTCTTTTTCAAATGCAAACTAAGCTATTTTTTCCTTTGTTACAGACCCTGTCAAGCTTTGAGTTCACAAAGCTTGTCATTCGTATAAGTAAAAAAGGATTCAGAATTTTTTTTTTAATTAGTAAAAGTGGACAGTTTTGCTAACACATTAGTATATTTGGGAAGACAGCATGGTTAAATTACATATCATTCATGAAAAGCATTATTCCTTGTATAGTTTACACATGAAAGTCTATAAATGCATATGCCTGGTGAGATTCACGCACATGGCATAAACATGCTGTGACACGACACACTGAATGTGAATCCTGAATATTTGAATCATTTATGATTCCTATCTTCTCTAGACTTGTTTTACTTTCTTTGAAAAGAGGGAAAAAAAAGAAAATTCCCATTCTAAACTAGTAAATAAATACACAGAGTTCTGTCTCGTTTTGGATCCATTATAAAAATTTCAGCTGGAATCACTAATATGAAATGTTTGTGCCAAAATCAATAGCAGAATACGACCTAGATTGGTAATAAATGACTAGTTCATTGGTAGTCTTCAATAAGTATCTGTAAAGTTTTTTGCACTTTATGTTAACCATAATTCAGAAAGAAATTTATTAAAGATAATTTAATGGATCAGAGAATGAGTTGACACAGAACCTGAACTTTAGGAAGAAAAGCATTGTCCAGAATGTCTTCTTTAAGAATAAATAGAGTCTTCCTTCACTGTAACGACTTTTAAAAATATCAGGAAGTATGAGAAAATGAGTTTTATGGCAGGAAAATTGAGTATGAAATGTTTCTAAGCTTGGGGAATCAGTTTGTCATTGATAACTGCATTAGTGCAAATTTTGTTTGACGCATTCCCTCTACATCGATTGCAGCAAACGGAAATTCACGAGTACACATGGCAGATGAGACCACCAAGTCACAAAGAGGAAAAAACTAAATATTAATAGTCTGCACACAGAGGTACCCATTTATTACTGTCTCTTTCATGGAAAGAGAGATTTTAGCACAAAACATCTCAAAAGTGAACCCACTGCTGTTTGATTTTTAAAAGAGGAATAATAGGACAGACTTTTTTGAAGGTTGAAAGTTGAAAACTGCATATATTTAAAGGATAAAGAGGTCATGAGTGATGAGGATTAATTTCATTGCAAGCACATTAATTTGACAGCCTGGAAAGCTGTCGGATAATAAAATGAATGTCGTCTCCTTTTTCTCCATTGACAGAGGAACTGACCCAGTTCTTTGCTGAACCATTACGCTGAAGCTGCATAATGGTCATGCGACCTGTATGTGAGCTCTAGACAAACACAAAAGATACCTTTTCATAAGCAGATTATGTATTGTTGACATTTCACCCTTCAAATCATACCTAGTGTTTCCTAATCACGGTCAGCCTCTGAGACCAAAAGCTATAACTTCTGATGATTAAAAAAAGGGATGTGCTTTGCCCAATTCATCGCTTTAAGCATTACAAAACCATCCTGGCAGAAATGTAGACTGTCGCGAAGGGACGGGGAAGATTTTGTTTTTACTGAAAAGAAATACAATGATTATGGATATTTTTTCTATTTTGATTCAAAATATGTGATTCATTAATAAACATTAGTAGAATAGATTTCGAAATTTCTGATTTTTTTTCCATTTGTAATTAAATCAAAAAGGAAAACTAAAGTACAGAAATTCTCACAAACAGTTAATCCTTAAATGCTCTCTTTTCAGGGATGTGAGTTCTGTTTCATTTTCTCTTCACAGGGCCGGTCCCACATTTCTTGTATGCCCGGAACCGTTCGGCGCTGGAACTACCCTTCTCCCCTTTGCATCGGTATGGACATCCTTCGGTCGTTGTGTTGCTGTGCACGTGGACTATCAATACATAACAGGGATCTCCTTGAGCTGCTCTTCTGGGCTTCAAACGATGCACTTTTGTATTCCTTTTGAAACATTTGTTACATAATAATAACATAATGGGGCGGTAGAGGTATAGCAAAGGTTGACCATGCATCTTCTCCACTGGAGCTAGTAGCTCAGCTTTTTCGTCATCTTTGGACCAACCTACACAGATGAGATGCAAGACTGCTAGCTCCAGCCACTAAACTCAAGTTGCATTGTATCAGAAGGCCAGTGGATTAATTTACGGGAAGGAATGAATGTAGCTGGTCGGAAAGTCTGAGCTGTGGTCTCTACCGTAGGCCTTTAGCCTCGGGGAGATCAAGTTTCCAGAAGCAAAATTCAGAAATACAAATCAGGGGTTTGCAGTTGGAGGGAGAGTACTTTTTGAGAAACAGAAAGGGGTCTGCCCTGGTGGATGTGCTCTTGAGGGCTGGGGCTGCAGCCTGCTTCTTTAGGGAAAAGCGTTCCCAACACCCGCCTTTAAAGAGGGAGAACCTGTGCCTGAGGCCCATAAACTTTTCACATAGATTAAGTGGTGGGCATTTTAAAGTTTCCCTGCACAGCAGGTGATTTTCATCTACCTCCAACACAGGAAGACCTTGAAATGGAAAGGCTGTGATGTCAGGGTGCTCTGCATTCTTCTTTATTTTATTTATTTACTTTTTTTGAGGATGATTAGCCCTAGAGCTAACTGCTACCAATCCTCCTCTTTTTGCTGAGGAAGACTGGCCCTGAGCTAACATCCATGCCCATCTTCTTCTACTTTATATGTGGGATGCCTGCCACAGCATAGCTTGCCATGTCCGCACCTGGGATCCGAACCAGCGAACCCTGGGCTGCCAAAGCAGAACGTGTGCACTTAACCACTGCGCCACCAGGCCAGCCCTGCGTTCTTCTTTAAACTCTGCATGTTCTTCCTCTTCTCCAAGCCCAGAGCTTCACGCACCACCTGGATGCTGTGTATCTGACTCAGAGATCTGTACTTACAGAGCTCAGGTGACCTTACGACTCTGTCAGGTGCTTCCTTACCTGTATGACTCAATATACCCAAAGCCTGAGTCAAGTCCGTTCCACTGCCTGCATCCCTTCCTCCATGACTGCCATTATCATCCACATTTTTTGTCTAATCCACATGTGACCTTAGATTTCTTTCATTCCCCAGATACAAGCTATCTCTCACTCTTGTCAACCCTACCACCTAAATGCATCCCCAGATGTGATCCTGATCTATAACGCCCCAGCTTTGAGATCTCATAGCTTCTTAATGCCTCATAGCCCTGTAAATAGTTGTTATCCTGCTCGACAGCATCCTCAGCTACAGCCTCCAATCCCAGCCGTGCTCCAACTTTATCAGGGGAAAGAGCTTGTTACAGTTGATCTGCTCAAGGCCCTGAAATCTTCTGCCTACTCTGTACCCACGCCTCTGGCCAAAAGACATCGCGGCATCAGCATATGGCTTGAATTGGCTCCATGATTTGGCCCCGGAACCACAGCTCTCCTTTCCTCTTGTTCCGTGCATCAGCAAGTGCTGGATGCTGCTGTGCCAGTTCACCCCTCCATTGCACATGCTCTCTATGCCTGGCCTCCTGCATGGTCACTGCTGGGCCTGCCATATCAGGGCCTGAGACCACAGGAAAACCAGTAATACTGACCCTGGCTGTATTTAAAATGTTGACATTTTGTTCATCCTAGGGCTTTTCTTTGCATTACTTTTGATTTTTCCAATTATTGCACTAACTTATTATTTGAGGGTTCAGGCATCCTCCTAAAATTTGCACCTGAGGGAAGTGAGTCAGCTACCTTCCCCTCAGCCCAGTCCCGGCCAGCTTCTCCACTTCAGGTGGCTAGCATCCGTAACAGGAATTTGGTTCTCCCATGTGTATGACTCCACTTTTGTATATGAAGCTTTAATGTAATTTTGCGTAAATTAATCTACCCTCCTGACAATCCCAAGGCTCTTACAGGCAGAGCCAAACGTCACTCACTACTATACTGTTAGCACATAGTAGGCTCGCAATAATTTTGATTCAAGAATGACCAGTCAATGATTGACCACCAGATAGCATGGATCATTATAACGATTGCGTGATCACAAATGCCTTCTTCATAGTCCCTCTCCTGCTTCCAACACGTGGATATTGCCAAGGGGAGCACTCAGAGCCCCCGTCTCTGGAATGCTCCCTCAAGCATCCTTATACTGCAGATGTGTTTCAGAGAAAGTGGTCAACTCTATGTGAACAAATGCATGCAATTTTAAAGGCCACCATACATCCTTTAAGTGTCCTCTGAGCGATTCACATGCTGCTTATGATCCATTTTGCCAGGGAATATGGTAGCATATTGTGTTATGCAGGTTCCCACAGGTGAAGCAAGGTACTTCCTCTCTGGTACATGTTCCTCTGACAGCCTGATTTCCCAGCTCACACAAATCCTAGGTGTTCAGTGGTTTTGAGTAATATACAACATAACTACCTTGAACAGGAAACAGATGGAGTTGTGTACAGAGGAAAATAAAACTAAACCAAACCTTTAAAACAAACAGGAATTCAGCCTTTATGATAGTCTCGTCCAGGAAACAGTATGTGTCCCTATTATGTCCACCATGTCATATTTGTTTACAAGTGAAAGATGGGCCTTAGTGACCAGTATCTTTTTCGGTGAAAGTGATTTCTTGGTAAAAATCCATGTTTGGATTACCATGTCATCTAAAAAGTTGAAGTTATTTGTATGGAGGTTTAAAATTCTAGGCTTGATTGGAAGGGAGAAATGAAGGATGATGAGGAACTGACATTAGGGGACTGCCTCCACCCCCGTTACACAGAACGTCAAGCTTCCTGTTTATTTTTACATGAAGCACTGTCTGTTAAACTTGGGAATTGAAATATTTTAAACTTTGAAATGAAATCAGCTCCCAGCGGGTATTCAATCAAACAATAGTTATTGCTGGCACTCTACATTATGTGGAAAAATGTTTACTTTGAATAGTTAACCTATATTAGCCAAACATAATTTTACCTTTTATTTAACATGTCTCGTATATTAGCAAATGTGGAGGATGTCAACTTCCATTACACCTGCTTGCCCCTGATTTTTGTAAGGTATAGAGAAAGGTTTTTCATTGGAAAACACCCAAATGGCCCACATAAAGCTCAAAGACTGATTTGAGAGATTGAAAGCTTTTCTTGGCTGTTAGCTTTAGATTAATCTCAGCTGAGGGAATTTAAGACTAGAAATCCATAGAGAGATGATACTTTACTTATGAGCTCTTGGAAACCTCACGTCCTAATTTTTAAAAAGAAATTGCTGCTAATGAAGACAATTTATATCAAAATGCTTTTCCACAGGCTACTGAGTGTTAGCATTATTCTCAGAGCTTAACTGATATCAACTGTTTTGACTATCGCAACAAGCCCCAGAGGGGCCAAGCCATTTGCCAGGGCCCTGCTGCTGAGCTGGCACTCCCTGCTCCATGAGGTCTGTCCAGCAAGGCATGGCCTGTGCCCTTGAGTAAAACCTGCATATATTCTTACCAAAAAATCAAGAATCTGCACAAAATAAGATATATAAATCCAGTACAATGTAAGATAGCTATTTTATAAAAATAAACACCTTGTCCTTTAGAGATACTGTATTTATGAATAACTCTCCAATGATGCTACTTAACTATAAGAAAGGGCTGGCGTGGAGGGCGTGTCTCCACAGGAGGCGGGAAGTTGGTCTACCAGTTGGTGGTGGACAGTTAGACCCTGGGAAGAAGGCTGAAGCCTGATGGTAACAATGAGCAAATATAAAATAAGACAAACCGCCTGATGGAGTCTAAAACACCACAGGAGAAAAGATTGATGCACGATTTTTGGGATCTCTGTTTCTATGCCCATCCAAAGATGCTCCATTGATTAACAAAAGAAGGACTACTTGCAGTTCTAACTAAGTACTTAAGGAATTAGATTATCATTGTATGTTTGACAGGAGAAATACCCGATATCTAGGCCCCACATGTGTCTCCCACAACACCGAGAGTTGGCCTGTATTAAACAAAGACATTGATACTGATGATAACTTCTATCAGCCAGCACTGGGTCAGCTACTCATGTGAGATGCTCTCAGCCCTCACTGAAGAAGTACATGGATGCTTAGATTTTATAATTCCTGAACTTTTTCTCTTTTTTTGGTAAAAGTCTTGCTCAAAATCAAAAGGACCTTTTTAGAAAGGTCACCTTTATTTCACCTTTGTTTTCCTGTTTCTGTCATTCATTTGGCATTTTCCTATCTGTCTCCCCTATAGCTGGTCAAACATATTTACCCTCATTGCAGGTTGTAAGAGCCCTCAGGGAAGGGATAGTATTGCTAAATATATTCAGGTTTGCCGCTCATATCCACCGGTGTCTTCCACAAAATTGATGGACTCATGGATAAAATGTACGTCACAACCTATATTTCAAATACTTGGTATCTCCCACCAGAAGTCACCTTGGGTGATTATACTGCAAATAACAATGAAGCTTATGTTTAAGACTTTGCTGGGGGCCGGCCCCATGGCCGAGTGGTTAAGTTCACACACTCTGCTTCATCGGCCCAGGGTTTTCCTGGTTTGGATCCTGGTTGCCATGTGGCACTGCTCATCAGAAAAAAAACAAGAAGATCGGCAACAGATGTTACCTCAGGTGCCAATCTTTGAAAAAAAGACTGAAAAAGCAAGGTGTTTGGTCCTCGGATAATTTAAAAAAAAAGACTTTGTTGAAATTATTCACTCATTCTACAAAAATACATTTTTTAACTTTTTTAAACTTACATTTTTAACTTACACAATGTTGAAACCCAGACTATGATTTTCTAACTTGAGCGATTACCCTACTCACTGGACTTGACTTTCTAAGATGTTTAGATTTTCCTCCTGTCAAATTTACCCTCAACAGGTAAACTTTTTCTACCTTGATGATTAAAAAAAAAAACATAAAAAGCTTCCACTCTAGGTCCTGAGGGATCTCTGAAAGAGGGCTTCCAAAAATATTTGCCTAATGAGAGCATTGTTAGAATAGGAATTAAGCCTTTTAATGTGACTTCCTGGACAGACGAGGCATCGTTTGCATTATTACTTTGAAATTACATGAAATTGCCATTTTAATAGGGCACAAATGGTCAAATATTAGAATTTCGTCTGCTGCAACCTATATTATTTGACATGTTTGTTATAAAATCAGTTGCGATTTATAGTCAAACCTCAGCTGCAGTAGCCTGAGTGTGAGGAACCAAGATCAGGACAGATGAGGGAGTTATCTTTTCACCCCTCATCACAGCGTAAGATTCTTTGGGCAGGAAGTGGTTTCAGTGGCTGCATTCCAAACTGAACAGAATTCTGCAGGTAACTATCCTGGTTAAAATGTGGGTTCTGGAACCAGATGGAGCTGGAGTAATGGTCTGGTTGTGCTGTTCACCAGGTGTGTGCCCTTAGGCAAATTTCTTAATTTCCTCAGCCTTGGTTCCCTTATCTGTAAATAAGGTAATAATAGTACTAGCCTTTTGGGGTTATTATGAGCATCAAATGATGTATTTCTCTCAGCACGATAGGTAGCGCATAGTTAAGGATCAATGAATAGCAACTCATACTACCATTCAATGCCTAGCAACTTAGAACCTGAAAGTCAATTGAATGCCTGACTAAAATGCATTAAATCGAAGAATCTTTACCAAGAACCTGTGTGTACCAGAAGTAGAACTGCCAAAATGGGGAAAGTGGTCAAAAGGGACAAACTTCCAGCTATAAGGTAGACCAGTCCAGGCATGTGATATGCTGCATGGCCCCTCTAGCTAAGAATACTGTATGGCATATTTGAAAGTTGCTAAGAGTAGATCTTCGAAGTTGTCATCACGAGAAAAAATTCTGTAACTTTGTATGGTGATGATGTTAACTAGACTCATTGTGGTGATCATTTCACAGAATATACAGATGTAGAATCATTGTGTTATACACCTGAAACTAAGAATATTATACGTCAAGTATACCTCAATAAGAAACAAAAGAAAGAAAGAAACAGGTAAAGGGAAGAAAAACACTGATATGAATGCTAAATAAACTCTCAAGTGAAGTTCGTTTTCCTCCCCTTCCTCAATAATTAAAATATCGCAAATTGTGCTAACCACTACAATTGGACTGAACATCGAATATAATTTCATCCTTCTTGGATCGTACAGAAGGCATTTCCGGAGCATCTACTCAATTATTATTAAATTAAAGAAATGCTTGCTTCTTGTTGGCAATAGTGGTGACCAAACTAGCTTTTTCTATATGTCATAATAGCTACCATTTATGGGAGGGCTACTAAGTGGCTTGATTTTATGAGTTAGTATGCATATAAGATTTCATTTAATTTTCACAACACCATTTGCAGCAAGTATTATTGTGCTCATTTTATAAAATCAAGAACAAAATCAGAAACAGTCTTTGTTCTTAAGCATCTGACACTCGAGGGAGAGAGCTGAGCCCATAAGTCACTAATGTGCCCACTGAGTCGTGGATGTGCCGTAATTGGGGACCAGATTCGCTTCTGAAGACTGCTTCTACTGAGCAGAGTGGAGGAGGGCAGGTGGAATTAAACGTCCCTGCTAGAAAGCGAGGACCCACCAAACTAACTACTGTTGTCCATTTCGCAGCGACCTGTGGCGGGACGCTGAGTAGCATGGGTGGCGTCATCCTGAGCCCGGGGTTCCCAGGCGCGTACCCCAACAACTTGGACTGCACGTGGAAGGTCGCGCTGCCCATTGGCTATGGTAAGAGAAAACACTTTTAATTCCTAAAAATTCAACTTGTTGATTTCTGTCTTGGAAAGAATTCAGCTGAATTAAAAATGTGCCTTATTCGGTTGACATAATCATGTCTTTACTTGAATTTAAAGACACGATTTTAAATACAGCTTTGGCAGAATAACTTTGAGAACAGAAAGTTATTTGAAAAATCAATTCAGCTGTGCAACTCTCTTCAAGGCAAATTAAATTAGCTGGATGATGATACAGTAGGCACATGCAGCGCTAAACGTAGCATCCCTAATTCAATTATCCATCTCTCTATTTATAACACCGCCTTTTATAATCTATCTCTGGGACTCAATAATGGTGGTTATTTCTTTTGAACAATTTTTAAGGCTTTTTTAGATAATGACACAGTTTAGTATAGTTTTATAAATTTTTGTAATTATTTATTATATTGATATGGGTTTATGAAATTGGCTCTTTAGAATATTTAGTTATTAACTTTCAGGTTATCCACCTTAAATCATTCATGATTTTAATTGTTGTGTACACTGATATTTCACTCTGCCCTTCTTCAGAAATGCATGGGCTTTGTGAAATTTTGATTCTCTATCACTCCTTTCCCTGTCTGCCCTGTGATTTCCTTTGTATTTTAGCTCATTAATTTGAGTTTTCCCCACAGTGACTTTCCCACAAGCACGCACTGTGATGGGTGTACCAAGTTCTATACTCACTGAGTGTCTCAGAGGATAGCAGTTGAGGACCCATGTACTAATTAAGTGTTAGGTGAATGATGAATGAACATAAGCAAAATTGGAAATCCTTCCTCTAGAAGAAGATCCTGTTTTTTACTGTTTTCAAAGCTTTTGAGTTAAGAATCTGTGCCCCTGATGGCGGCAGCAGACAAGCAGGTTAGCAAGGGGCGGGTCCAGATGCTCAGCAGAGAAGCCAACAGGAATGGGGGCATGAGGGCCTGGCAGGGCTCCATCAGGGGTGCGAACATGGATGTGCTGCGCACAGACATGGACTGTTAGGCCAGGGAAAGAGGGGGTCTGGAAGGGCACCCCCACTGGAGAGAACACTCGTGAAGCTCACGTCCATCAAGTTCTTTCAGGGGCCACCCAGAGGGCTTGGGGAGTAGGGAAGTGGGGAGACTCCACAAGAGGATTACTCAGGCTTTCTGTTTCTTCCAGATTTTAAGTTTAGTTTTGCCTTTTACATCATGAACTTTCTGAGCACAGAGGCAGTAATTCTGCTCTAGATGCAACAAAGGGCTTTGAAGGACTTTATCCAACATCGGCTCAGTTATTCTCAAAAACTGGGTCCATTTCCTTACCACAGTTGGTACGAATCTTTGAGTCAGGCTTCAGGGTGAGATCGCAGACACACGGGATCCAGGATATTCCAGCAGGGTGGTAAATGAGAGCATCTCCAGGAGCCTTGCCTTCCTCATCGCTAAAACTAAAATCCCACGTAGGCACATGGTGAGGACAAACTGACACAATTCAGGCGGGGAGTTTAGAGCAGGGCTGGAGATCCCGTGGACAGTGACAACAGTGAACAACAAAAAAGGTCAGTTTATTTTTGTTATTATTACTCCAAATATTTCCCACTGTCCTTTCAAACATCGTTATAAACATTTTATCCATGAATGGATATACATGTTTTCTTAATTTATTTTCCCAACTTTACTGTTCTTTAATTTGAGAAGGCTATTGTTTGGCATTTTTCCTTATGTTGCTCTCTCAAATATGCAAGAGAATAATTCAGGACAAAAAAAAAGGAATTAAATTGTCTGACTGCATTGTCATTTCTGTGAACCTAAACAAAATATTTATTTGAAGGAAAGCTGAAATGAAAAAAACAATTTATGAAATTTTATAACAAGGATGATTTAAGTGCTTAAATATTTGATATTGCATAGTATTGAGTTTAAAAAGGATGAAAAGGCAAAAAGAAACTTTGTGTCTTAAACGCTAAGTAGATACAAAATAGTGTGACTGTCCCTAGCTTTTTAGAATAGATGTAGTTATGCTTCAGAATAGTTTGTTATAGATTAAATTTAAGTGAAACACCAGGTTTGCCTGTGATAAATTTTGTAGTCTGAGTGGAGTAGTTCCCCTGACATGGTAGATATTAGGAATTTTTCTGTCCCTGGTAGGAAGGAATGTTTTCTGGGGCTTAAATAATTATAGAGCATTTCGCAGACTCAGGGAAAATATTACTGCCTGTATTTTAGCCCCCGTCAGGTTTTTGAAACTCTTACGTGAATTAGTTCTCTCCATTCCCCATCTTCCTTTATCTCGGCTTCTTCTCCCTGGTAATATCTGTCACCCTGTAGTTTGAACTGCCTCTTCTACACACGTGACTCAAAGCGCCATCCCTCATCTTGCTCAAATGTCAAACCACATTTTCACCTGCATGGGACGTGTTTCCATCTGGGTCATCAGAAAGTGTCCCAGACTCAATTCAGATTCAGATTCCCTCTTACTCTTCCCTTAACTCAGTCTCCTGCACGTTAGGGTCTCCTGTGTGATCCCTGTTGGTGTCCACAGCAGGACCGTTTTCCCGGTACCTTCCTTTCCCTGAATTTACATTGCTTTTGGCAGCAGGTTCTTCCCAGAGTCTCCCTAATCCTAGGCAAACATCAGACCTCTCCCCTGGAAATTTTGAGACATTAAATTTGGGTTTGAAGCACAGGAATCTGCGTTTTTAAATCAAGCACTCCAGAGGTTTCTTATGAAAAGGAAAATTGGGAACACAGCAAAGATGACCACCACATCTTTTAATTATCATTTCTCCCCTCTCTGAGCTCCCACGTTGCTTCCTAACCTTACGGTGACTCCAGAACATTTCCTGTAATTACAACCCATCACAGGCTCTTGCTTTCCTAGTGGGACAAGTTAGGGGTTGGGAAGATATATTTCTACTGATGCGACAATAGATGTTTTGCCTGGGAGACATCTGCTGTTTGGATGATTTTGGTAAACAAGCTGGAAGATAATAGTAAAAATATATTTCCTCCCTCATATTGGGAAAAGACATAATGTGATAGGAAGTTTACATTAATAAATATGGTGGTGTTAACTAGTTCTTCATAGTAAAGGCGTTCATTGGCACATTGGCTGTCACTGCTCAGCTCCCCAACCCTTCCTTGGATTTCCTGCTTTGAGCGTCTGTGTCAGTGTGTGTCTGTATGTGTGTGTCTCTGTGTGCGAAGGAGGTAAGGTCTTTTACCAGCCCAATCTCTTTCTTGGAGGTTTGGGAAATAATTTTAAGCAATGTTTTCTGCAGGATCATTGGAAAGTTCACCAAGAAACGGAAGTTATGGGAAATTTGCTTACCTAAAACCCAAAGAGTCTATCAGATTTATTGTAAATTATATCTACTTAAACTTAGAATGCTATAAACCAAGGAAAATGATTGCTTAGACCAGTGGTTCTCAAATTTTGTTGTGTATAAGAACCATTGGTACAAGTCAAGTTGTTGCCAGGAAGATTCCTGTGGCCTGTTCCCGGATGCTCTTGCGGCACCCCTAGCCATGTAAGGAGAAGAATTCGGTATTTTTCCCCAGAACCTTTGGTATTTTGGATGCTAGAGTTACAGACTACTTTAGAAAACATTTCTCCAATTTATGGGAGAACACCTTTAATCAAAATAAGGCAAGAAATGCACAAAGAATTTTCATAAGATCCTTACAAATATTATTTATTTAATATAAATTGCTTTGCTGAAAAAATGCAGAAATCATGAGATTTTGACAGATTGGAAGTAGAGACAGAATATTATTTAGTATGAAACAGCAAGATACATAAAATCTTTAAAGTGAATAAGAAAAAATAATTGCTACTATTCTTCCAGATTTTTCTTAAAAATAAATTTTACCTCAATATTTTTAAATTTAGCCCCTTCGTTTCTGCAAATGCTGTCTCAGGTGTCTCAGCATACATTCTAATTTCCTTGATGGTCGATTTAGGTTTTTGGCTGCTCAGGGTATGGGTGACTATTGTATTGGTAAGCATGAATGACTCCAGTTCCTCCAGCTACCTCGAATAACTCAGTTATCCAGAATATGAGACATGGTTGCCCTTTCTTCAGGAAAAATATATGTGATGTTTTTCAGTCATGTAGGATTTTTCTGGTGTGTTTTGAGTCTTTCCATACAACTGGATATGCAGGGGACTACCTGATAGATTACCTAATCCATTGGTTAAGCAGCTACCACTTTTAACCAAATAATTATTTTGATGACTGCTGCTTCCCTCCATGTCCATGGATCAATCAATAGTTTAACTGAATAGGCAAGAGTGGTTGGTTGCTTTGGCATCACGTGAAAACCACCTTTGTCTCTTGGCTCTATTCATTCTGGTGACAACTATTTCCTCCATCCTGCCTCAGTGTGATGCAACTTGTCTCTCAGAATGATTGGGTGACATCTGGCTGAGGGATGGGCAGTGTATGTCTTGGTTGCTCATGTTTTTGGGCTCTGAGTTTAGCTGAGTAGAAATCCCACTCTATCAGTTACTGGTGATACAAATTTACACAAGTAACTAATATGTTTTTGAACCCCATTTCCTTATCTTTAAAATGAGTACAATAAAATGTCCTTCTCACAGGGCTGTTCTGAAACAATGTAAGTGCCTGATATGGAGAAAGCGTCATTTAAGTGTTACCTGCTTTTAGTAGCTAAGCCAAATTCTGTAGTGATTTTATGCTGTTTTCTTTCCTTTTCAAAGACTTAGGGGTGCTGTTTTGTGTTGCTTTGTCATGAGCCCAATCAACTCAGAATTTCTGTCTCTATTTTCTTGAAAAGTTCTAAAGGCATAGTTAATAGAAACGTGACCAATTTTTTTCTGTTTTACCATTTCTTTTCATATGTAAAAACCACTGCACTAATACTGCATACCTTGCTATGCAAGGCTTTTTGATCTTCTAGAAACATAGGGAGAGTATAAGGATTCTTCAGAATATTCACTGAATTCTATCATTAACTCTTTTACTATATGTTTATTATGCACAGAAGATGTGAAATAGAGCAATTTAATATTCACAAGTTCTATCAACTAAAAACGAGGGTTTAACTCTGAAGTCATGGTCATATTACTATTCAAAGTTTTGCCAGAGTCCAAGGGAAGCGTCCTTTGTGCAGATGCCTCTTCCTGACACTTCATTTTCAAGGTGTAATGACAATCGGATGAGAATGTGCTGTGTAAATTCTACCAAAGATGGGCATTCAGATTGGTTTCTTGTTGAAATGACGTTATTTTTTCAGTGTTGCATGAGATAATAAAAGGATAATGAGGTTATGCATATTTTAAATCCCTTCATCTTGGCTTTATGATGTCAAAGTGGACACAATTTGCCGAAAATTAGATAGCTAAATAATTCCATTTTAAGCCAGATTAGAACTAGGTTCTGTGCTACTTCCCGATATGAAGTAAGTGGTTTAATATGTGGCTGGATGCTTTATCCTGCTTAAAATGCTAACTTTTTTCATAAAATTATTATTGTCATACTTCCATTTCCATTTCGAGTTTAATTCCAGATCAGTAAAAGGCCACTTTCACTGTTTCCTGTACTTTTGAGATATTGGCCATCTTTAATTTTTTCACCCTTGATCTGCTCACCGTCTTTCATTTCCTTCTTGACTGTGTCGTCCTATAAATTTGAAAATGTATTTCTGGATAAATACGTCTGAAGTCTGCGTGCGCCCATCTGAAATGAGCATATTTTGAGCCATTTCCCTGCTGTTTGATTTCGTACCCAAATAGTGAATCAGTTTTTTAAGTGTTCTAACCTTGCCCTCATTTCGCATCCTATCTGCTACTTTTTGGCAATAAACAGACATGTCAGTAATTCAACAGCTGTTTTGGTTGTTCTTGTGTCAGCTTCTGCGTTCTACCTCATAGTGACGAATGCAATGGGTATTTATGAAACTCTGTGGACCACAGGGGTCTAGTGGCCTTGACATAGTCACCAAAAAAAAAAAAAAAAGACAAAAAAAAGGATTCGTTAGCACACTTTATTTGTTAGTGAAAAACTCTTTTTTGTCAAATTTGTGGGACGTGCTACAAAAGAAAGCTGTGTTTTTAATTCAGCAATGAGTGAGGGAATAAATTTCGTACTGATGTGTGGCTAAGTGATCAAGCAGGTCAACGGTCGTGGCCGTGCAGAGGGGGCCGTTCAGGCCAAGGGACGCGAGCTCCACTGGTCCTTCCTGCCCTCCTTTCCTCTGTCTCCATCTCCCTCTCTCTCTTTTTTTGTTTTCTTCCAGTTTTTGAATTTCTTCTGACTACAAATATTTACTGGAATTTAGAAGAAAATTAATAGCTCATTAATGGCTCTTCAACAAAGAGAAATATTTGGTATTTTTTAATTTTTGCAGAAATGTTTGAAATGTATAGAGTTGCTCCATTTGGGGGAAATGTTGTCCATGATGCTAGGATGGACAAGACAACCACAGACTGGGATATTCCTTTCCTGACTGCTGATGTGCCCCTTGTATAGAGATTTGGACCATATGATATGAATTCAATTGCTCATTCTGAAAGTTATTCCGATTTTGGTTGACTTGTTAAAGACCTTTCTTTTATCCCAGGATTTTTCTCCTGCTTTTTGCTTCCTCAGCCTCTTCCTGAAGGCTTCCACATTCTACCTCCTTTCATTCTTCCTCTTCCAACCGAGATTAAACACATTTAGTACAAAATGATTTTCTCCAAGAAGAATTGGAATATGTTTCACATCATGAGATGGTTAGCGCTTGTCTAGCACATTTGCATGCTAAACCAGAAAAAGTGAGGGCTTTGTCAATCAGAGTTGGGTGTAAATCTAACTGCCTCTTCCTATGTTGCACTGGACATAACACCTAACGTTTCTGAGCCTTAGTTTGGTCATCTAAGAAATTATAATAATAATGACTACCTTGCTGGGTATTTGTGATGAGAAGGTTAGTGGGTAAAGTTCATGCACCCCAAGTGTAATAATTGGCCTTACACTATGCCCAACCAGAAAGGGACATGATTTCCTCTTTCCTTCCTCCACACAAGGTCTTCTTTGTAACTGATGAAGCTTTTTCTTGGATGACTTTACATTTTATTGAGTATCTTTAGGTTTTTCTTCCTACCGCTCTTTTTTTTTTTTTTTTTAAAGATTTTATTTTTTCCTTTTTCTCCCCAACGCCCCCCGGTACATAGTTGTGTATTCTTCGTTGTGGGTTCTTCTAGCTGTGGCATGTGGGACGCTGCCTCAGCGTGGTCTGATGAGCAGTGCCATGTCCGCGCCCAGGATTCGAACCAACGAAACACTGGGCCGCCTGCAGCAGAGCGCACGAACTTAATCACTCGGCCACGGGGCCAGCCCCTTCCCTACCGCTCTTTACTTGAGCTTTTCTTCCTTTTTCACTGATTTCTAGGTTTTGATAGCTGCACTTTCCTTTGATACCTAAGTAGATATGTTTGCTTTAAATTTTCTGTGTCTTTACACTTAAGTAGGGTATCTCATGTAAGCATTTTCTTTGGTTTTCCAAAGCTGGGGAACATGTGTCAAATGTATTAGATGAAAAGTAAAAACAAAGCTATTCTTATCTATCAAGAACAGGAGAAGAATAATGCAAAGTAAAGCTTTTCTCCTATGTTGGGAGAATAATCTGCAATAGCTATTGTGGTATTCTTAGTTTAGGCTTTGCAATCCAACTTAAGTTCATGTACTTATGTAAAACCTAATGTCTTTAGAGTTCTAAATAAACTATTTAAATGAATTAAAATATTTCAGACATAGTAGTCAAATGATTTCTTTAAAATACCACAATTCCATAGTAAATAACTCTAAATTGTTTTAATTTTGATTTTCTTCTAAATAATCAGCTATGGTTTATCTGGTACACAGATCAATGTTACTTGCAATGTTGGTCCTTTGGACAGTCTTTTGGTATGTTAAACTGTGCCAGGCTCTTAGACTGAACTGTGAGCGTTATCGTGGGATTCATTGGATGGGATTTCCTGCAAACATCAATAACTTGCTTTGTATGCATAACACAATTGAAACAACCACTTGCTAAACTAATAAATTTCTTGTGCAATGGTATAACCATCCATGTAAAAGGCCACTTTCAAAGTTTGTTGCATTTTTTTTAGATCTACTTTGCCTTCTTTCTTGATGAAGCCATAAATTAACTTATAGATGACTACGCACAATTACAACTTGTGCTTCTGGTTGTAATAATTATAATAGCAGCTGGACAAAGTCATTGCCATATGTATGAATATAAGTCACCATTCAAAGAATTATACCTGTGCATCTCTGTGATGCAGTGCTGGTAATATTCATATTTCACGAATAAGTTGACTCAGGAACATTAATTACATGGACCTTTGTTGGTGGCAGAGGTAAAATTGAACCAGAGTCTGTTGTAATCCAAAGTGTGTTTTCTCCTCCACTATGATGATGCCATTCTGCATACTAGAGAGAGACTGCTTGGGGAGACTCATAAAATTTTAACCACTTTTAATAAACATTGATTTCATGAATTTTGACATTAACTTTCATGACTTTTGCATATTTCTTCATAGGTGCGCATATTCAATTTCTGAATTTTTCTACCGAAGCTAATCACGACTACCTTGAAATTCAAAACGGACCTTACCCCACCAGCCCTATGATTGGGCAGTTTAGTGGCACCGACCTGCCCTCGGCGTTGCTGAGCACAACCCATGAAACTCTCATCCACTTCTACAGCGACCATTCCCAAAACCGGCAAGGATTTAAACTCGCTTACCAAGGTAAGGAATCAAAAAAAAAAAAAAAAAAAAAAAAACCTAGATATGCTTCTTACGTTTAAATTTTATTGAAATGTAAGTGTCCCTAATTGGTTAAAAACTTGTACAACTGGAATCATTTGTAATGGAATTCTGTTTTCTGATGGGTAGCGGAGCCGCTGCTGTTCATGTTCTTGCTGTTTGTGCACTTTTGTACACAAAAGTGAGGACCTAGACGCAAAGATAGGACCGGCTCTGCTGTCATTGCAGCTTCACCCACACTCCCTTCCGTCCCTCTCTCCTCCGGCCATCATCACATACCTTCTAGGCCACCAGCCTGCTCCTCATATAGCCTCCTCATCTGTCAGTGTCCTCTTAGCCACTTATGGGTCTTTTCTCTCCAGGACTATAGTATAGGGAGTCGATTCATAATGGAAGTGGGTCTGGGAGAGTCTCTCATGGACTCAAGCCTTATCTGAGCTCAAAATAATGGCTATGTCTACTAGTCAAGCTGTGTTCCAATTATGCCAGAACAAAAAATTCAGTGAATGAACTTTATCGTTTTTTAAACCATCCCAATATGAGACTCTAAGAAAAGTTTGAATTAACCATTATCAGAGCATTTTTGACGTATGAAAAAGTTCAAAATTTTCATTTCATGCCAAATAATTTAGGTGGCCTTTTCCTGAATATTGTTAAATCAAGTGAAGTTGAAAATGTCAAAAGTTTTTTTAGGGCTTTTTCTTTTTTTTAATATGGCTAAACGACTTTCCTTAATTTCATAGATTGTGCTTGAAAATAGAGCTTCAATATGTTATTACCAAGAAAGAATGATATTTTGTGTTAAACTTTTAGACGTTGTTACTTAGAATATAAAATATATATTTAGATTTCCAGAATTTGAGTTTCTTAAGATAGGAATCTGGTTAGAAGGAAAGAAGAGAGGGAAACAAAGTCTGGACTGGTGCAGAATATAATGGGAGACATCGCCAGCATTTATTCACACACTGTTTCCCATCTCCATCTCCGTCTCCCCCTCGCAATTAGCATCACCTCCTACTTGAGAGGCACACCCACCTACACACAGAGAAAGATGTCAGAGAGGAAGTAGCTTCCCACAAGGAATCTGCGTGCAGATCCGCCCACACTTTTCTGCTTTTTCTCCTTTTCAAATGGAAAAGAAGGCTCCTCCTACTTAAACCCAATTCATCCTGCCCTCCAAGCTCTAAATATAGTTCTTTCTACTCTTTCAGAGCCATTAAAGTAGGAATTATTTTCTCTTTATTGCATTTTCAGCTGCTACATCTCTCTTAGATCTTCCCCAACAGCATTTCAAATATACTCAAATCCACCTCTCTCTCTCTCACACATACACATCTATTTACATAGGATTTTTTACATACTTTTGACTCCTATCTTCCTTCAGCTTCCACTTTCTGAGAATGTTTTTAGAGGAATTGTCTATGCCCACTTTCTCAGTTTCTACACCTCTTCCTCACTTCTCTTACCCGTTCTTATCTAGCTTTTACCATTCCAATTTGTTAATGGACCATTTAACCAACCATTCTGTTGACATGATCTTCCATGTCAGGAGTTCTTCCTGGCACTGAATCCTCTGGGCATGCTCCATTTCTCAAGGTTCTTGGTAGAACTCACGCCCTTATCACTTCTGGCTCAGCACCGTTTCCCCTTGGCTTCAGGATAACATGGTCTCCATTATTCTGCTATCTCAATGGCTACTTCCTTATCTTCTTTGCTTCTTTGTCCTCTTCTAACCGACAATTTTAGGTATACGGCTCCATTGGAGTCCCCCTATATTTTCGTTGTTCACTTTCCCTTAGCGTCATCAACACTCCTGGATCCAAAGACCATGGCAGTAGTGACTAATCATAGCTCTTCTGTTCGTATCACCAATGCAAGTGCTGAGAGTCCAAGAAGTCAGTGTCTGTCTCACCCCTGCACATCCCCCCTGGGCATCACGTGGGCACTCGAACCCTGTGTCCAAAACTGAGCTCACAAGTTTCCTTCCCAGGTATGTTCATCTTCCAACCTTCCCCATCGTACTAAGTAAGTAGTGTACATTTTATCCAGTTGCTTGAGCTGTAAAACTAATGTGACTTGTGACTCTCCTCTCTCCCTCCTCCCAGTATTAACTCAATTATCAAATCCTTTCCCCGGCCCTGCAGTATCTCTGAAATCCCGCTCATCTCCTCCATCTCCATCACCACTCCTGGTTCTCACCACCCTCATCTTTTTCCTAGAAAATTGTCAGAATCTTAAATGTCTTAGCATATGGAGTCTTCCTACTTCTCTCTTCTTTCCAAAAAGCAAACTGAAATGTCTCTTTCTTGAATAAAGCCTTTTCCACACTTTCTTATTGTCAGGGAGGAAAAAATCTTTTCTTCTACTTACCTTAGGTTCTCCAGCTGGGGCCCTAAGTGAGACTAAGCCAAATACAGATGAGCAAGAGGAAAACAAACAGAAGTTTGTTAACACGTGCATTGCACATACACATGGGAATGCCCAGACATGAGTAACTCAAAGGAGTGGTTAGAACTTGGGTTTATGTGCAATCGAAGGATAAAACAAAGGAAAAGGGGTTTGGGGCTTCTAGGAAGGGGAGGCAAGCTCTGGGAAGATGACCAGGAAAAGTATGGTAAACAAGGGCCTTTTAATAAGGTTTGTTATGCGGATTTAAGTCCTGTGCTTTCTCCATTGAGAGGAGTTATTAGAAGTCCTCCTCTTCCTGGTGCAGGAAAAAGTGACGTCTCTACAAATGGAAATTCTTCTTATAGATGTACATTTCCTTTACAAAAGAAAAACATATGCCATGTTTTTAGTGCTTTCTTTGCTTCTGCTGGTTCAAAATGGCCTTTAGGTCAAAATAATCCATATGTCAAAGAGGCATATTTTGAGGTGGCATAATATGAAACCCCTCACTATATACTTAGAATACGGTTCAAAATCTATAACAAGCTTAATCCCTAGCCTTCTCTTTCTCCACCCTATTGTCTCTCTCTGCACTTCAGCCATTTGCCCTTCTACTAAAGTACTTCCCAGGAGCCATGATCCTTTCTACCTCTCTGCTTGCGCTGGTATAGAAATCTCAACCTCGCGTGTTCTCCATCTCCCCCACGACTCTCCTTCAGTTAATCATTTAGGGCTCAGTCTATCTGTAGGATCCTAACAGAGGCATTCTCTGATTCCCCAGTCTAGCTAAGAATACCATGTGTCCCATTTTGGTAATGTTTGGTTTTGTAGTAGGCTTCTTTATGGGATTGTGCCTGAAAGCCAAACAAGTATAGTTTAGCAAAGATAATGGGATTTTTAGTGCCTATCAGGAAACCCAAGTGACTGTCACAGGCACTGGATATCCTACAGTGTGTGCAAATGGCCCTGGATGTACTTGGGCTGTAGCTACTCATACTAAAATGTTTGCACCAGTACCGTTTTTCTCTTCTTTTCGTTCTATCTCTTCCAGTCTCACCACAAATCCCAAAGGTAGGAAACTAAAGGATCAAAATTAGGTGATTGTTCATTTTGTGTTGTATAGATATGTTCAAGCAGTTAGTAATAAGCATAATAGTGAAAATACAGAGATGATCAAATTTGTGGATTGAACTGGGTTCCATAGACAAGTTGAGTCCCATTAATTAGTAACTAGATCTAATTAAAAAGGTAGAGAATGTAAAGGAGGAAATATAATTTTCCTCTATCCTTCTGACTGAGACCCCTGTAATAAATTGAAGATTAACAAGAGAAAAACAAACAGAAGTTTATTAACACATATACCTCCTGTATACATGGGAGATACCCAGAGACAAGTGAGTAACTCCCAAAGGTGGCTTAGAACTCTGGCTTAAATACCATCTTCAGGTAAAGACAAAAGAAAGAAAGGTGTAGCAAGGACAGTTAGGAGACATTACCAGGAAAACCAAGGTAAACAAGGGTAAGGTTGGTTATGCAGATTTAGGTTGTACCTTCTCCACTAATAAGAGCCTAGAGTTGAATCCTGGGATTAACCTTTGTGGTTCCAGGTAGACAGGGCAGGGGACACCACTGTAAATTTGTGTCCTGCTTTTAGACAAATAGAGGGAGGGCAGAGAGACTTTCTCATATCTGCTCCTTCTTAATGGCCTGCAGTTTAAAATAATCCTAATGCCGAAGTGGCAGTTTTTGACTGAGGCACAACTAGCACCTAGCACTCTAGTGTTCCCTCTGTTCCTGTTCTGTTTCACTCTGGCAGCTTTTTCTGTTCAAATACAGATGGGGACATGGCCGTAGTGTAACCATAGCATAGCGAGCAAGGACAAAATCCCTCTGTCCCTGGAACAATTTCTAAATATTTTGAGAACACAGTCTTAATGGGTCAGCATAGGTGATGTGACCCTCAATTCTACTCATGGAGACCAGGTGGATGGGTATCTGGTCATGAAGACCAGGTGGATGGATCTCTCTTCACGGAGACCAGGTGGATGAGTACTGTATTTAGCTCAGCTTGGGTCTCATGGGTCAGAAAATGTGATGAGTGGACTTCATCAAAGGGCATGGTTGAGAGGCAGAAGAGCAGTTTCCTGTGAGAAGGGGCTCTGAAACAACAAAATAGTAAACATACAATGGTTCTGCCACATAATTGGATTAAAACTCTGTATAAATGAAATATTTGTATGCTGATGTATTATATCTCCATGATGCAGGAGACTTTGATTAGTGTTCTCACATTTGCTTCCTCATTCGTTCTTGTAAATGTACTGTGAGTTGATCTGAGAGCTAGTCCTTATTTTGCTGTATTAAAAATAATGATAATAATAACTGTTATTTATTGAGCATTCACCCAGTGCCACGGTCTATGCTTCCTGCTTCTCACATAAATTCTGAGTGTAAAATATCCGCATTTTACATTTGAGAAAACTGAGGCTCAGAGAGGTTGAACAAATTCTGGAAATTTGTGTAGCTGTGTGTGCAGCAGTGATCTAGAATCGAATCTATTTGACTCCAAAGTAATCATTATTAGCTAACTACTA